TTTTATCATATGTTATCATAATTGTTTATTTCAAGTCGAGTGTCGAGGAAGCTAGATATCTACTGGCGTCCACAGGAGGCTCTGGTCGACGCCTTAGTGCTGTTCGAGGCATGCGCCGTAGAAGTCTTGATATGGTAGTAGAGGAACAACCAACTGATCCTATAAAAGGAGACAGCTCAGTGACGTCACTGACCTCTCAGCTGAGAGTTCCTCGCCATCGGAATAGATCGCGTAGTCTTGATAACAGCTTTGAAACGAGAAACAGTTTTGAAGCTTTCAAAGAATCTCTCAAGGTACGTTTATCGGACGTGACCGCTATAAAGAGTTAATTTTAGAAGTAATTGCATTAGCAGCCCAAATCTCATATACATTTTTTACAAGTCCGTACACAGTTATTTGTTGATTTTGCAAACTATTCAAATTTATTCTTAATTTGGATCGATATTGTCCACATTAACAAGTAATTTGGACAGTTCCGTGGGTAGCATAATTAACAAGTACGACCTCGTCCAATTTTGGCTGTCCTTGGAATGTTTTTCATTCAGTTATGTCCAAATTGGATAGCATATAGTCCTATTATTTATCGGAAATACGTATTAAAAAGAAGCTTATTATTTTGGGCCTTTCTTTTCTTGTTTACCTCAAACAGAAACCGTCCGCGCGCTTACTTTGTTTCAGGCTGTTACAATGTATTACAAAACAGCCCCAAGAAAACACGCGCGCTGATTGGTTAAAAATCGTGTTTCTATAACTCGATAGAAACACAGAACTAGCACGGGCTGTTGACGTAATGATGGCGCGAGCAAAGAGAATTTACATTTTGATGTAAACAAGTTAACAAGTTGTTTTCCGTTTTTCGTCGCGGTGTTTTCTAAAAGAAATAGAAAACATGTTGTCTGTGTTTCTATCGAGTTTTAGCATAAATCTACTAGCGTTCTATCACGAATGCTGTTTTCTGATTGGCTACCCTACCCACTATCTATTCTGTGATAGGTAGTAAGAAGCGTAGCAGTGTGCCTTTGCTTCATGGCGTTTTCGAAGTGTCTGTGAAGAGGATTTAGATTAAGTTTTGAGCGACTAATAGATTTATACTAAAACAATTAGATTATTCGCTCTCGATTTCTATCGCGCGATAGTTGACGAGGGCGCAGCAGAAATCGAGAGCGAATAGTCTAATTGTTTAATAGAAACACTCGTGAAAGTTTGGGAGAACTCGAGAAAGCTGTGGAAACACTCGCCTGCGGCTCGTGTTCTCACAGCATTCGTCGTCCTCCCAAACTTGCACTCGTGTTTCTATAACTCGATAGAAACACGCTACACGTTTTCTATTTCTTAACTTAAGTGTGGTGGAGATTTATGTATTTTAACTATCTTTCAGTTGCGTGACGTAAAGAAGACAAGGCTTGGCACCTGAGGGAACCTTTGCAGTCGTTGTTTAACTCTCACAAACGCTCGTGAGGCTTGGTTCAAGCAACTTACAGGATGTCGCCACGTTGACAAACCTTTGATGTTCAACGACAATCGTCCTTGAGTTTTAAAGTATCTATGGCGTTTCCAATCTAGATGGGGGTGATACCATGAAGCTCCTTTGAGAAACGGACGCTGTAGAGTGATTTTTATTATTGTGGTCATCTCTCGTATTCTTTAAAGAACTTTGTAATAAAATTCGTTGCAAAACTGCGGTGAAATGAGACTAGAGTGAACACTCGCCGCAAGAAGCCTTTTGTGATGATCGATATGTTTTTTTTTCTAAAAAAGTACTTATACGCGTTGTATTTTACGTTTTTTTACATTTTTTAAAATAATTATTAATTCAGCGGTACACACTAGCTGTGAATATGCATTGTTTTACATTGTGAAGAATTTGTTAATATAATTAGAAAGGTTAGTTTATACTTTGTATCAGTTCTTGCTTTACTGAATAAATAGAAGGAAGCCTAGCAAGTCAGGACTGCAGCTCAGGCCGTGTCCCTGGATATAATTCATCTTGTGATATATAGACTATAAATAAATTCGTTGTGAACGATTCCACAAACCCGTTTATAAATTTCCCGGTCCCTTTTAAGGGGTCTTTTGTTAACTTTCCTAATGTTAAAGTAAAAATAATGATGATGTCGATTCCGCAGAGATTCACAAGCTTTAAGGCTAAACATTTTGCATGTCCCGAATAGGTTTGCTCCACCACTGACAGTCCTCATAGACCTCATACAAAAGCAGCAATGATCACTGACGAAGTCTTACTAGCTGCACGGAGTGGGCCAAGAGTTCGACAAACGCTTTCTAGAGCGAAAAGCAGTTTTTGCCGCTAAACTTCACAAATCTTCAGAAATCGGGAGGAGGATAAAGTTAACGGTTCAGGAAAATATTCAAATAATAGATCGACGCATTGTGTATTATAATATAAATATTGGGAACAACTTACCTATTAAATATCGACATGTAGGAGCTTTCCGAAGACGATGACACTACGAAAATCATGTGATTCCCTGCCTGAGTTTTCCTCAAATACAAATCCAAAATATCTCCTATGATTGTTGCATTTTCAAATTTCTCCGGCGTACCGTGGACGGAAAACATTTGAAGCTTTCTCGGAGTGAAAACGCCGTTTCCAAATTCCTCCGGCGTAGTGTGGACGAGGCCTAAGCAAAATACGACGGCAACAGCAACAAAAACGTTACCAAACAGTGAGAAATTTAAATGAGCTGAAAATGTGCACGTACGTTATAAATCTTTGTACATTTCTCAGCCGTCCTCTGTAAAACAAAATTGTAAAATAACCAAGCTCTGGCTGTTTAGAGAACCCGAACGACTGCGGCTAATTTTTCGCATTTCCTTTCCGTCATTACATGTCATGTTTAGCTTGAGCAAGTTTTGAGCCCGATAGGCACACGGAACAAATCTAGATAATTATGAAAATCGAAAACAATATACCATGTTTCGTTCTTTAGCTCCCGAATATTAAACACTCGCGGCAAACGGCAAAAACTGCCTCTAATTTTCTGTTCTTTTCCTGTATTCCTTAAATCAACCGAACACAATAGAAAGAAAATGCCTATTTGCAACAAATACAAATATTCTCCTTCGTGTACAAACGGCTGAATACAGACAGTAAAAGTTTAAATTTTGTCATCTCATATTTGTAAACGATTGTTAACTTTACTGGTATCAAAACTTTCAGTATTACTTTATTCGTGAATGGCTACATAAACTTTACAGAAATTAACACTTAAAAACACTACTTTGAAACTTACCTCTGTTCCATCCTATAAAATGAGAACACATAGATCCGTATTGCTGCTACAATTCTGTTCACGACACACGAATATTGAGATGCGAATTCTACTTTGACCAGCTTTTACACACATCTCCCCATCTAATATGGTGATCTTCTTTCCCTGGCAATTGCATTTGTCCCCAGTCAGCCTTTAACGACCGGTTTAAATTTCAAATTGAAGGATTTCAAATTATTTTTCCATGGAAAAGTTTTTCTGGTTTGGAGATCTGACGCTCGCGAAGTCACGAAGGAGTGCAAACTGTTCCCTCTAGATGACGGCCCGCGTCAAAAATTTCCCGCCACTCGATCGTGATGTCATCTGTGCGTCTACCCTGGAATGAGGCTATGTACTCAAGGCAAAAAAGAAGACATAGAATCTACTCTTAGTAACTAATTTCAAAGCTATTGTATGAATAAATGAAATGACCTGTTTTATTTGTCTATCATTTAGTGTCTCGAAATGACATATTTATTTACCCTTTCCCATTCTAGTCTCATTCTCTATTGACCGTATCGACCGAGGAGTACTGAGCCCCATATGTATGACGTAAGCGTCTCCACATGCGCCGTTTCTTTTCGCGCCAGATTACAATTTTCCGCCATTTCTGCGAACAATAGCGAATTCTGAAATTCAGTAGCATCTTGTCTGATTTTAATGGGTTTCTTTCATTTTGTCGATACGAAAAGGTTATAGGAACGTTGATGTGGTATATCTGTTATAAATCATGGCTAAAATCCACATCAATGATGTGACAATTCACCAAAATCCTTCCCCATTTTCGAGTCCCTTCGAGTTTCAGATAACGTTCGAGTGCACAGAAGAACTCAACGACGGTTTGTAGCGTTTTATTTGAATTTCAATATTTCTCACTGAGTTTATGTTAGCGTGTATTTAAGTTTAATTCTAAAGTAATATTTTTATGTTGATTGTGTAGATTTAGAGTGGAAAATTATATACGTCGGATCTGCTGAGAGTGATGCACACGATCAAGTGTTGGACTCGGTTTTGGTTGGGCCTGTTCCAATTGGGAGACACACATTTGTATTTCAGGTAAGCGTTCGTTTATAACTACGATTAGGTCGGTCAAATAGCGCAGGATCTAACGATACCTGAGCTAAAAGTATGTCATATCTGTTCTGTAATAATACACGTTTACAAGTGTACATGTACATCGAACAATTAACAATTATTGGACGAGGTTGAGCAAAATATCGTGATTTGTCAGGGGAGAGCAGATGAATTATATATTTTACAACAACTGTCCATTTTCTCGCGCGCTGACTGCTCATTTTTATCATCAATAAGAGTACAGACGGATAAAATTTTAATTTATGCAAAGCTTTCAAGTTCAACTTTCAGCTATATGAGTATAGCTATCAAACTGTCAACTTTTTAACCAATGAGATTTTATGGATTTTTTTAAGGTCATTTCCCAGTATTGCATTGTGCATCCTTACTGCGCATAATTTCTGGCGTCATTAGCATGCATTCGTGCACATGCACATCGAAAANATTTTCTGGCATTTTTCTTTTAAGGTACAAATGTTCATTGTTTATAACTCACCTTTTTAGTATAATTTCTTTTAAATAAAAGATTGCAATAAGATCTATCTGAAAAAGTGAAAAACAATTTTTATGAAAAATGGTCAATTTTGGGGTATACTGATACATGTACCTTAAAGGTCTTGGCTTTTTTGGTATGAGGCTTAAAAATTTAATCCAGCGCAGTCTGTAGATCAAGTCCTAATTGTGTCAATTACCTTACATGTATATCTTTCACTCTTCCTAAAGAATGGGTTTCCTAATTACTGTTTTCCTGTTCCAGGCTAAATCCCCAGATCCAAGTCAAATCCCGGACGAAGACCTGGTTGGTGTGACTGTGGTCCTCTTGACTTGTTCTTACAAAGACAGAGAGTTTGTACGAGTTGGCTACTATGTGAACAATGAGTATACAGAGGAAGAGATGAGAGAGAATCCTCCAGCAAGGCCCGTCATAGAAAAGGTGCATGTAGAAAATATTATTTAGCGATTATGCATAACGTCACTCCATTTAGATGATCTATATTAATTTTGCTTGCTCTGGAGACTTTTTTAAAGTTGATTTCACCTTCAAATACATGGTCATACAAATTGATTTTGTAGCCATGCACTTTCTTAAGGGTAACAGGTACACTAATATACATAATTGCTAAAAAAGCTGCCGCAGAGCATTTTTCATGAAATTATGGGCCAGGTTTCTTTTATTACCTCTGAGGACACCCACAGCTGTCAAATTTTTAAAATCAAATTACGGTCAAAATAGATCAAGCATTACTACATGTACCAATGACAAAGTTATGCATTCATTTGAACAATTTTATTTCACAGTCTTGATTTCAGTACTCCATTCTTGGCAACAAGTTAAAACTTGATTGTATGTTTGATTTATATCTGGCTCAAGCAACAAGTGCGAGAGAATTTGAAACTATCCCAAATTTGCACAAAAATAAAAAATCTAGTTCCAGCAGTTCACCAGTGGCATTTTAAAACTCTTCAGAACACCAAAATGCCATGCTTTTCCTCTGGCATTGGAAAAAAAGATTTTATTTAAATTGTCCACTTTAAGCTTTATAATACTAGTCACTCTTTTAATATACAAAAAATCACTAGCCATTCTGAGCTTCACTGTCCAAAAAAACATAATGAGTTTACTTTAATATCAAGTCAGCAGTTCATTATAATGGATTTACATTTTGCTTTAAAACTACATATGTATCTATTATCTTAAAATTCTGAAAGATCTATCAATTAAAACCTGAGAAGGACAGTCCTATAAACCTAAGAATAGTGCACTGCACTAATTTTTTGTAACAGGGAACAAAACTTTAAAGAATGGTGTTCTTGAAATAGAACACCAACTACACTCATGGGAACGAGTGCTTGTGATTGGTAAAAATAAATTGACTGAGTACATGTACACAATGCAAGCTAGTGAGGCATGTGACCTGCAATTAGTTTTAGCTTTACTGAATGTTTCTTTTTTTTTTTTTTCGTGTTTAAATGAAGATTGTCTTCATGTTAGTCTACAGCGTATGTCATATGGGAGAGAATAACATAGAGGAGTTTCATCCAAGGGAAAAAGGTTACCCACGTGCTACTCTTTGCCCTCTTTAGTCTACAGCTGTACATAATTTACAACACATTCGCTGAAGACAGCCAAAAAATTACAGTTGTTTAAATTAGTTCTTTTCTTTTTTTTTTTTTCTTGGACCTATTAAAGGGACAAAGGAGTCAGTTCTACCTACCTGATTGAAAAATGGTTTTATCTGTCAATAATTTATTCAAACCAGTATTTTTTAAACAATTTCCCATTTCCACATCCCCCATAATACACCTTGTCTGCCCCCCAAAATTTCGCATAAGTTGTCTTCAGTTTCTCTTGGGACGACTGTGATACCCAGGAGAAATGGGAAACAAAGGTTATTCAGAATTCTGGGGGGCAAACAAGGTGTATTATGGGGGATTTGGAAATAGCAAATGAGAATGTAAACTGGATTTTACTCAGACAATCCATGTAGCATGATATTCTCAATTCACTTTGAAGGTGGCCTATAAATACAAGTTCAGGAGCAGTCACATCTTTGAACATTTTAGGGTACATGCAAAACTTGCAATGATTAGATCTGCTAAACTCTGGAAATATGTTTTTGAATTTAGCAGTGAAACTCAAAATGAGTGCAATTATAGAGCAACAAAGGGTCTTTGTTTTCAAGTTAAGGGGTTTAAGGGGTTTTAGGGATTTCAGGGTCTTTGCTTTCAAGACACCCCTGGTGAGAATGATTTTTTTTGTGCTAGTATGTCAAACCTGCAAGTAAAGCTTACCTTTCAGTAAGCGAATAATTTGTTTTCTTTCCACCATGCGAGTATTGATTGATAGATAATTAGGTTCAAATAAATGCTGTTCGTTTCCAACTTGCATTGATAAATGACCTTGATGATCCTGCATTTATTTTTATCTGGTGTCTACTTCAAGCCAGCTTGTAATTTTAGCCCACTTGAGCAGTTACATCATAGTTAATAGAGAGGAATTGTTATGAAACCAGACATTGTTCTTTGTTGTATGTTTTTGTTCTCCCATACACAAAACACAGTAGTTCTTTACTTCTGACTGAGGAACAAACCAATAGAAGCGTTTTGGTAAAGATTGGATTGTGCAAGGTTGTGGACCTTCAAACATAACTCTTGTCGTCTTTGTTTGATATTTTGATGTTTGCTGGGCTTCATAACCATTCCCCTCTATTAACCATGGTTACATGTACTTCAGTCCAGAATACTAATAGATGTTTTTATGTTTGTGTTTTGTGTTGGTTATTTTCTTGTTACAGCTTCAAAGAAATATTCTCCACTCCAAGCCTCGGGTAACAAGATTTAAGATTGACTGGAATGATTAACTTAAATAGAAAGTCTGTTTTCATAATTGTTACATGTACATGATATTGTACAGCTGTATTTATATAGTTTGATTTCATGAGATGTTATCATGAGTCCTTTTGTAAAAAAATGTTGTATTTTAAAATGATTAGTGTGAAATAACTTTGTTTCTTTCCATTTTTTTTCTGTTCTCACTGGCCAATACTTTACTTGTGTACTTAGTGGAAATTAATTTTAAGTACTGCTTAATGGTGCATTCATTTTAATTTTGTGTTTATTATTTGTTGAGTTACATTTAATTTCTTGTGTAGTAATTTGTTCTTTTCCATGACCACCATGCATAAATAATGTTTACAGACTTGCAAGGTCCTTTAATTTAAAAAGAACCATTGAACACTTTTATACTCATGACCTC